GTGAACACAAATTAGTTAGCATAAATCAGTTAAATGACGAACAATTAGGTGTCTATTTACTTGTAACCACTTCAGGTACCCAGTTGAAGATCCAATATACTTTATTCGTTATGTGTTTGTTTTATTGGGAATTTATTAATGATATTTAGAAATTCTAGTAGGTTTATTATAGAGGAACCGCTTCAATAATTATCGCTACTTACATTTGCATTCTGATTTATAGTTAGCTATTTTTCAACAGAAGTGTTTAATGATTTTGTAATCGCGAGTGCTTTTTAATTAGTATTATTTGTTGGTTGCATGAAAATAAATAAAGATCTTATATCAGAGTTGAATGGGTGAAGAAAACGAGCGTATTTGAAGATACTAGAATGTTATAAATATTAATATATGATACTAGCTGAAAACAACCTTTTGATGTAAGGTCTCCCAGTATCACAACGGTATGTCTGCGGACACATAGCTAGAAACCAGGTTTCGATACCCGTGGTGGGCAGAGTACAGATATCTTATTGTCTCCCTTTGTGTTTATCTTCAAACAAACTTTCTGTAGTGACGTGGCCCGGCATGGCCAGGTGGTTAGGGCGCTCGACTCGCAATCTGAGGGTCGCGGGTTCGTATCCACGTTACATCAAACATGCTCACCCTTTCAGCCGTGGGAGCGTTATAATTTGATGGTCAATCACACTAAGAGTTGGCGGTGGGTGGTGATGACTAACTGCCTTCCCTCTACTCTTGCACTGCTAAATTAGGGGCGGCTGGCGCAGATAGCCCTTGTCTAGCTTTGCGCGAAATTCCAAACAAAAAAAACGAACAAATGATTTAGTGAAGTAGAATCTTCACAACCCATTTTCAAAGTCTTGATCCATTCTGACGTTCGAAAAATTCTTTAACCAGAATAAATTAAAAGAATAACAGACCAAAATTAGAATGTAATTATTTCGTTATTTCTCAATGGCTATTGCAAATCTGAAAGCAACGGTAAAACTATATATACAGTAATTTAAATATTACACACAGTTTTAATAACACACTAGTATTGGGCAGAGATTGAATTTAGCCCCACCTCCCCATAAGTCAGCGGTAAGTTTACGATTATACAACGCTAAAAATCTGTGGTTCGGTTCTTTGCGGCGGACAGAGTGCAAATAGCCCACTTTGTAGCTTTTCGCTAAACAAACAATTGTTGGTTTGTTGTTTTTTCAATTTCACTCAGAGCTACTTTAGGGCTATCTGCGCTAGCCATCCTTAATTTGGAAGTGATAAACAATAAGGAATGCAACTAGTCAACACCACCCACCGCCAACTCTGGGAGAGCATACCCAGTAGATTGCGAGTCGAATCCTTCTAACCACTAGGCCATGCTAAGTCAAAAGAAACAGGCAAACAAAAAGCTTCAATATAAAAATGATACTTAAATGTCATAATTGGTTATATACATGTAAATGAAACGTGCCCCCCCCACATCAGTGGGTCTTGTTTGTTTGTTTG